ACTACCTGAAACTACAGAAACTGATATTGACTCTCTGATCACTTTGTCTTTGGGATTGACTTACTGAAATTATGTCTGTATATATACTCAGGCCACAAACAGAAGTCAGCAAATATTCTGTTACTGTGTATTTTGTTTGTTTGATTGATTTTTGTTGTTATTTTTGGTTTTGAGACAGGGTTTCACTGTGTAACAGCTTAACAGCTTTCACTGTCCTGGAACTAGCTCTGTAGATCAGGCTGGCCTCAAACTTACAGAGATCGACCTGTCTCTGCCTCCCAAGTGCTGGTAACCTGCCAGCCAAGCCTGATAGGGGAGCAAGTAGGCCAGCTAAGCAGGTAGGTAAACTTCAGATCTTCAGTCCCCCTCCTCCCCTCCATATCCAATGCCCCTTATCGTTCTCAGCTCTATAGTGGACTATCTGCTGAGGCCTCTCCTCATGCCCCATTCCCAGGGGGCAAAGCAGATCCCAGAGAGACACCCTGCTTTCTTCTCTCCAGTGTAGCCTAAGACTTTGACTTTCCGAGCCCATCCCCATTCCTAAGTGTCAGCTCTCAATACCTAGAAACACACTTTACACAGAACTTTCAGTGGACACACCTAACAGACAAAAAACAGCTATTACTGTCTCCTAAGGACAAGACAGGGCAAGAGAAACCAAGGAATAAAACACACACCCAATAAAGACAAGACCAAATATCAACACCTAGAATTAAAATCTTTCCCAACTCAGAAGCCTAGACTCCAGTGAAAAAGCACAGTCTATAACAGCCAGGAGAGTAATCTTCACTAATGGCCAGAAACCTTACCACATTAGAACCTGAGTATTGCAACACAACTGAAATATGAGACAAAGACCTTAAAATAACCTTTATGAATATAATAGAGTTCCTTAAATTGGAAATGAATAAATAACTCAAAGAAATCTATGAAAACACAAACAGTGGAAGGAAAGAAGAAAACCATTTATGACCTGAAAGTGGAAATAGAATCAATAAAGAAAACATAAACAAAGGGAAATCTGGAGATGAAAAATTTAGGAATTCAAACAGAAAATCTCAGGAGGCAAAGCCTCACCAACAGAATAGATAGAAGAGAGATCTGAGGCCTTGAAGACACAATAGAATGGATAGCTCAACCAAAGAAAATGCTAAATCAAACATTTCTGGCACAAAACATCTAGGAAATCTGGGACTCTATGGAAAATCTAAATCTAAGAATAATAGAAATAGAGGAAGGAGAAGAAACTCAGGTCAAAAGGGCAGAAAACATTTTTAAACAAAACAATAGAAGAAAATTTCCTTAACTCAACGAATAAGATGCCTTCTTTATCAAGGTACAAGTAATCAGAACATTGAATAGAATGACCAGAAAAGAAAGTCCCCTCAGCAAACAATAATCAAATCACTAAACTTACAGAACAAAGAAAGAATATTAAAAACTGCATGAGAGAAAGACCAACATATAAAGACAGACCTATAAGAATAACACCCGACTTCTCAATGAAGACTAAAAGCCAGAAGGGCCTGAACAGATGTGCTGCAGACTCTAAGAAACCACTGATGCCAGCCCAGACTACTATACCCAATAAAATTTTCAATCACTATAGATGGAGAAACAAAAGCAATTTTAATCAATATCTATATATAAATCCAGCCCTACAGAAGGTGCTAGAAGGTAAATCCAATCTAACAAGGTTAGCTACATCCAAAAAAACAGAGAATAAATAATCCCAGGTCAGAAAAATCTAAAGAATGCTCTCTCTCTCTCTCTCTCTCTCTCTCTCTCTCTCTCTCTCTCTCTCTCTCTCTCCAAATCTAAAGAATGCTCTCTCTCTCTCTCTCTCTCTCTCTCTCTCTCTCTCTCTAAATCTAAAGAATGATCTCTCTCTCTCTCTCTCTCTCTCTCTCTCTCTCTCTCTCTCTCTCTCTCTCACCCCCACATGCATACCACTACCACCATCACCACCAAAATAACAGGAATCAATAATCATTGGCCATTGCTATCTTTCAATATCAAAGGTCTCAATTCCCTGATAAAAAGACACAGGGTAACAGAATGAATGTGAAGACAGGATTGACCCCACCCTTCTGCTGCATATAAGAAACACACGTTAACAGCAAGGACAGACATCAACTTAGGGTAAAGGTTTGGAAAGATATTCCAAGCAAATGGATCTAAGAAACAAGCTGTGTAGCCACTTTAAACTCTAAAAAAATAGACTTCAAACAAAACCAATCAGAAGAGTTATCGAAGGATACTTCATACTCATCCAAGGAAAACTCCACCAAGTGGACATTGCAATTCTTAACATCTTTGCCCCAAACACAAGGGCACCGAAGTTCATAAAAGAAACACATCTACAACTTAAATCACATATTGACCCTCACACACTGATAGTGAGAAACTTCAATACTTCACTCTTGCCAATAGACAGGTTATCCAAACAAAAGCTCAACAGAGAAACATTAGAGCTAACAGACGTAAACCAAATGGGCCTGACAGATACGAATGTACCTTCTCAGTACCTAAGGGACTTTCTCAAAAATATACCACACACCGGGACCACAAAGTAAGCTTTAACAGATACAAAAAAATTGAAATAACATCCTGTGTTCTATGTGACCACCACAGATTAAAGATGAGTATCAAGAACATACATAACATGAAGCTTACAAACTCATGGAAGCTCAACAACTCACTACTACATGAAAAATGGCTCAAGACAGAAATCAAGAAAGAAATAACAAAACTTTCTAGAATTGAATGAACATGAATTCACGATATACCCAAACTTACGGGACATAATAGCAAATTCATAACACTAAATACCCATATAAAAACTTGGAGAAATCCCATACTAGTAACTTAATAGCACACTTGAAAGCTCTAGAACAAAAAGAAGACACAACACCCCAAAGGAGTAGATGGCAAGAAATAATCAAACTCAGAGTTGAAATCAATAAAATAGAAAAACAAAAACAAAACCAGTGAAAAGTATCAATGAAAAAAGAGTTGGTTCTTTGAGAAAAATCAATAAGATTGATAAACCATTATACAAATTAACTAAAAGGTGAAGAGAGAATATTCAAATTAATAATTTAATTCAAATTAGAGATGAAAGGGGGGCATAACGACATCAAAGAAATCCAGAGAATCCTAAGGACATACTTTAAAAACCTATACTCTACAAAATTGGAAAATCTAAAAGAAATGGATTATTTTCTTGATACATACTACTTACGAAAGTTAAATCAAGGTCAGATAAGCAATTTAAACTGACATATAGCCCCTACTGAATAGAAGCAGTCACTAAAAGTCTCTCAACCAAAGAAAGCCCAGGGTCATGGTTTTAATGCAGCATTCTATCAGACTTTCCAAAGAAAACTAATGCCAACACTCCTCAAATTATTCCACAAAATAGAAACAGAAGGAACACTGCACAATTTGTTTTACAAACCCACAATTATCTTGATAGTCAAACTACATAAATACCCAACAAAGAAAGAAAATCACAGAATAATTTCCATTATGAACACAGATGTAAAAACTCTCAATAAAATACATGCAAATAGGATCCAACAACACATCAAAAAGGTCATTCTCCATGATCAAGTAAGCTTCATCCCAGAGATTCAGTGATGGTTCAACATATATAATTGATAAATGTAACCCATCATATAAACAAATTGAAAGACAACAAGTACATGATAATTTCACTAGATGTAGAAAAGCCTTTGACCAAATCTGATACCCTTTCATGACAAAGGTCTTATCGAGGTCAGGGCTACAAGGGACATATCTCAACACAATAAAAGCAGTTTACAGCAAGCCCACAGCCAACATCAACTTAAATGGAGAGAAACTCCAAGCAATTCCACTAAAATCAGTAACAAGATAAGGCTGTCCACTCTCTCCCAATCTTTTCAAAATAGTATGTGAAGTCTTCGCTAGAACAATAAGACAAATGAAGACGGTCATTGGGATACAAATAGGAAGGGGAGAAATCAAAGTATCTTGATTTGCAGATGATATGATAGTATACTTAACTGACCCTAAAGATTCCCCTGAAAAACTCCTGCAGCTGATAAACACTTCAGCAACATAACTGGATACAAAATTAACTCTCCTGAGTGAGGTAACCCAGACACAAGAAGACAAACATGGTATGTACTCACTCATAAGTGGATATTAGACATAGAGCAAAGGATAACCAGCCTACAATCCACAACCTCAGAGAAACTGGGAAACAAGGAGGCACCTAAGAGAGACATACATGGTCCCTTGGAGAAGTGGAAAGGGACAAGATCTCCTGAGCAAATTGGAAGCATGGTGGGGGAGGGGGAGGGAGGCTAGAGAAAGAGGAGGGGAGAACATGAGGGATCAGGAAGATGGAGTTGGGGGAATAATAGAGAAAGAGAGCAAGAAAAGAGATACCTTAATAGAGGGAGCCATTATAGGTTTAAAGAGCAATCTGGCATTAGGGAAATATCCCTTTCCCCATTGTTGTCACTTAGGATAGTGTATATACCTTGTTAGGAATAGCTTCCTATTGTTTATGGTTCGGTTTGGAAGGAGGTGTTCAGGCTTGGACACCTCTTTCAGATGACTTTAGGGTTTAGTTAAAATAGATAGTTATCTTCTTATATTTTACCTTTATACTGTTAAGTTTTAATCCTCTTTTAGACTAAAAGGGGAATGGTAGGGGAAGCTGTAGCCACGCCTTCTTAGGGGCTGGCTACAGGAGTACCTGAGGGCTTATGAGGGCGTGGTCAGAGTGAGTGGGGGGACTGCATTTTCGGTTTCGGTTTCTCTTTGCTTCTTGCTGTACAGACTACCACCGGCTGGCTGGTTCGCTCTGTAAGTAAGGCTTTTCCCTATTAAATACCCTTATATTTCTCCCTGACTCCGTATTGGTAATTTCCTACTATAGACTCCAACTAAGAATCTAAGTAATAGTG